TGATTGCCTGCCTAACGTGTGTTGAGCCGCGATTGTTCCTTAATAGTGATTAAAAGTATCTATGGTGTTGTACAATAAGATAATTTACCATCTAAATAAGCTATTTAAAATATCGATATGAGAATCGTAGAAAAAGAAAAAAAAGGAAGAAAAAAAAAGAGAAAAAAAAAAAAAGAAATGATCGGTTCTAAAACATACGTATAGATCTTTCCTACTAAGAAATATATGTCTCTATTGATAATAAAATATTTTCGTTTTAGAATATATAGAAAATAAGAGTGAAAACGGCCAAGTACTTAATATGTCGCATAAATACGTAAAGATAAAATAATATGCACGTTTATTTCGTCGCTTATTTCAATTTTTTTTTATTTTAATTACGACATAGAGTATATTGGCATTATAACATATTGTAGAGCTTCCTTATACATTTTAATAATTGAATTTTTAGTTTCATTTTTTGTACAGTTTTAAAAGTCAATGTATAATAATATGTGTTCTTACATTTTCAAAGTGTGATATTTAAAGGAAGTTCATATTTTTGTTAAGTAGTAATGTTTAAAGTAATCCTGTGAAATATATGTATATTATGGTAAAGTACTTTTATTGCTTTGTTTAATATTGGCAAAAGCTTTTAAGTTCAAACATATATAGCAAATTATTTTATTTTATTTTATTTTATTTTATTTTATTTTATTTTATTTTTTTTATTTATTTATTTTTTTTTTTTTTTTTTTAAGGAATTTGAATTCATATTGATCTAGTCTTCTCACGAAATTTTTATCATATCGTTTTACTACAATATAAAAATAAAAAAAAATATACTTTCAATACTAACTATCAATACTAACATTTGGAATTTCTCAGGATAAGGTAGAGTATATATATATATGTATGTATGTAAATATATGTATATATATATATATTGTTAATACGGTATAAAAGAGTAAAAAAACATTCTAATGAATTTTGACAGAATTTAGAGAAGTGCAAAGACTATGTAATAAATTTTAGTATGGACATTTTCATTTTATCATATGAAGATGTAGTTTAATGGATAAATGCATTTTATAGTGCGAATTAATACAATATAAAGATATATTTTCTATGAAAAAAAAATTATTCATGCTTGTGTAAAAGAGACATTTTTTGTGCTTTTTGTTTTGTATCTTTCTGTTCCTATACCCGCTTTTTTTATTATACTATATTTGCATAAACGTTATTAACTTTTATATCCTAATAAGATATAAATTACATTGTTTACACTTTATTTGAAATAACTTTTGTAATAAGTCCATAAAACGAAGCATTAATAAATGTATAAAATTAATTAGATCAATTTGAACAATATTTATCCAAATTATAATATTTTTCAATTTTTTACATAACAGTTTAAATAAATTGCATTTATGACAATTGATAAATTCTTAGTACAAACAATAACAATTAATCGTGAGATATAATATTTCAAATATAAGTGGTTTTATTCCTCAAATATGCAAAGAAATATATTCCGAGTTTTCCTGTTTTATTTAAATAGATGCTTGTACTTTTTCATCGTTATTAGTTTTACTTTATTATTATGATATACGTAGTGACAAAAAATATAAAAACTGATGAACATGGTTTTTTTTTTAAAATGAAGTACTTGCAAAAAATGGCACGTGATCGATGAGAAATTATAATTTTTTACAAATTGTGACTAAGTTGTGTTGAACTTAAGTCATCAAAATTCATAAAAGATAATGAGAGAATTTTTAAATTACTTTTTGTCGATTTTTTCATTTTGTAATTTGCAATCAACAACACATTATTCGCACTCTCCCTACCGATAAAATTTAATATAAACGAAACACTAGCGCCAGTTTACAGTTACCGGTACAATACGAAACTTGTTTACTGATTTATAATTTTGAAAAATGAATTTTAAAGATCATTTTTTAATTATAATGGTAGTTAAAAAAAAAATATATATATACAAAATAAATAATATTGTTGTGTAGCAAAATGAAAATAGAATTGCTTGTAATGAAATTTCGTATATTTTATATAATATGTATATAATTTTAATTTTAAACCTATTGTTTCATATTTACATTTAATTTACAATTATAATAGATACAGGAACGCTTATCTATAATCTAATATGTCATCCGGATATTTTATTTTACATTTCATTAAATTATATTTTTGCGCACTGATATTATATCACAATATTACTGCCATTTTGAATCATGTAATAATAATCCTCAACATTTAGACAAGATATTTTTAACATTCGTACTATTTATATGTTAATATTTCATATGGAATGGTATAACTAGAGTTAAAATTTAGAAAAGTAATAAATATTTAATAAATTCCTAAAAAACTTTACAATAGTTTCTTTCCTTTTTTTTTTTTTCCCAGCAACATAGCATTGAAATTGTTGTGCGCATTACTTCTTAGGTTAGGAAAAATTCTTAATATTACATTTCTTGCCAATGATATTAATCATATAACAAAATAAGTCTCTATATATAAATTGTTTTAAATAACATTTCAATTGTATTAAAGTTACTTTTTGATAAAGGAATGTGTGACAATAGAAACATTTTGACTAGATATAACAAATATGATACAAAGCTAATTAATACTTTTATTAAATATAAAAAAAATAATGTATTGTAATATACTGATTACGTTTTCCACTCTCTGTGTTAAATTTGTTATTGTAATTTTTAATTGGTCCAGAAAATTATTTTTATTGTTTATTTTCATATAAATAGTAATCATAAATTGTCAAAGAAATATTTAATTCTCACAATCAATATGAAATTAATATAAGTACATAATGCATAGATTATTTTTCTCTCTCTCTTTTTTTCTTTTTTTTTAGAATTGTAACAAAAATTTGTTTGATTTTTAAAATATTAAATAAGATTATAGCAAAAGAAGATAAATTACGACAACAATAGAACACGTTATAAAATACTTAGTCATGTATCTTGTAACATCTATAAAGTTTAATAAATTGAAGTATTGCACATCAAATGATATTTTGAGTATATTTACATAATTTGAATTATGTTGTTCTTATGTTACATATTATATATCATTATAATCTTCTGAATGAATTCAAATATTATTTAATCAAACAATATTGTAAAATCTTTTATCTCTTTATGAAATATAACAAATCCTTAGAGAAAATGTATTTCTTCAAATAGAATTTTTGAATCATTATGAAACCGTTGAAATATTAGATAATATATGTTCTCTTATTGATTCTCTTAATACAAAGCTGTTTCTAAATCAAATTATAGATAAGATGGAACATAATTCATATATATATATATTACATGAAATTGTTGATTAATGCCAATACTTTCTTACACAGAGGTAGTTCACAGATATACAATATTTTAAAAAAAGAACATGTAAGCTTCATTTCAAATAAATTATTATTATTGTCTGGCAGTATTGTAATATTTTTTTTGCGAGCTAAAGAGATAAAATGCTTATGTTATAATTACTTTGACCAGTTATATAATATCTTCATTCTATCATTGGTGTTAAAGCCGTTTTTTTTCTTCTATTATCATTTTTTCACAATAAACATAAATTTCTCAAGATATTTTATGTTTAACAATTGCTTCATAGAATACTGATATATACATACATACATATATATGTATATATCAGTATATCATGTATGTTTATACATATATAAAGAATATTTGAACTTAGCATATATCGTTTATAAAATGGCTTTAGACATAAACAAAATATAGATTACCTTTGTAGAGATTTACAGAAAACATTTGCATTATGCGACTGCTTTTATTGTCGAATCAAGCTTCGTGCTCACCATTATTTATTCCTATGAGTGATTCTGTCTGTTCTGCTTCAAGATCTGGTATCCTGTAAAATACCAGTATAATTTACTAATTTATATAATATTTTTCTTATAAGAATATGTAATTATTATATTTGTTATTTTATTTATAGAAATTATATAGCTATGGGTACCTTGTAGATCTGTTCTTTCGACAAATCCAGAGATACAGTCTCTTTATTAAATCCATAACAGGATCCCAGTTATCATAATGGGATAGTATAGATACAGTCAAAAATGCTAACAGCATTGGAATGGTTCCTAAGTAAAAAATGCAAGGATACTCAACCTTTTTTAATAGAACATCAGCTATCATTGACATTGGCATTGTTAAACTAATAGCCAATGTTGCTATTAATGATGATGTCAGAAAACAACCCCTGGTAATATAAAAACCAATGAATATAGTCAGGAAATAAAAAAATATATTGGTATATATTTTTAATTTTACCATAGCCAAAGAACTTCACTTAATACAGTGCCAATTAATCCATTGATGATCAAAAATGTCCATTGATGAGTATCAGGCCATTCAAATTCTTCCCAGTGGCCATAATGAAGAATAAAAAATAGTGGCCACAAAAGTGTTAAATTGAAAAGTCCCACAAATCCAAAAAACATTGGTATATTCATTTTATCTTCGTGATCGACTTTTCTTTTCAAAAATACAATATATGCTGCATAAAAAAATGCGCTGACTAGAGCCAATATTATACCTGTTGGTATTCTACTACTTTCTATTGTTAAATCTGAAAGACCGACTAATACCTAAAATAAAAAAAAAATAAAAAAAAAAAAAAAAAAAAAAAAGAAGAAAAGAAAATAATTTACAATTTAAAGAGAAACATTTTTTTTATATTATATTATTATCATTTTAAAGGAATTTTTTAAAAATCATAAATATACTTTCTATTTAGAAAAAATTTGAAAAAACTCACTAATCCAAATATGCTAACAGATACAGCAACTAGTTTCGATAATGTAAACTTATCTCCTCCATTACTTGGAAAAAAGGCAGCAAGGAATAGAGTGAATAAACTCGACGTAGAAGATAGTATTGTGACAACACTAGCTTCTGTTTCAGATAATGCTATTTGATAAGTGTAATTTGCTAAGAACCACTAAAACGTAAATTCATATAATGAATAATTAATTATAATTCATATTGTTTGTAATATTATTATAAGACTACTTACAAATAAACAAAACATAAGTGCAATTTTAGCTACTTTCTGAACAGAAAATTTATTAGCTTGACGTCGAGCATGCTCCCCAGCTCTGATGCTTGCTTGATAACTTAGTCTAGCTAGTAAAGCTTCTGTAGCATCGCTTTCTGACATGTGTCTGACTTCTGCTAATTTGCTAAATCTTACAGATCGAATGGAAGAATCGTCACTTTCTGTACCAGAAGAACGTTCACAATGATCTGGTGTCTTTATCGGCACAAATGTTGGATCACTCTAAAATATTATTAATTTTAATGTAATTAACGTTATACATTGAAAGTAATATTAAATTTATCAAAATAACAAATTATTCTTACCAAACTTGTATTAGCTTCTGTGTAGAAATTATCATCTTCGACATTCGGGTCTATGAACTGAATGTAGAAAAAGAAAAATTAATGTTTAAGTAAACACTCCAATCAATAATAGTTCCTACAAAAAAAAATATTTTATATTTATACGCATACCATATAAGTCGCTGGCCTATTACATTGATCCCGCCATGGGGGCCAAAAGCATAAACCAAGTAAATAAAGAGTAAACATGGATGTTTTTATATATGTACTAAAAAATGGCTTTTCAAAAGCTGCTTCTCTATAAATATACTGAAATATAAATTTGAACGTATAAAATACAATTATTGAAAAAAAAAAGTCAAATAAATCTGTATAAAATATTTGAAACTATAAATAAGTTATATTATAGTTATTAAATAAAAATCTTACTTTCGTCAATTCAGAGCTTGAAACCCAAATGATATCAACCAATAATAAAACCAAAAGTCCTAAAACAAGTCTTTGAGATTTATTCATCATTGCTGCAAGTCTATGAGGATCCTCCGTCATCCCCTGTTGTCTGCGTTGTCTTAATTCCACAGAACAACTCATCTTGAAAATAGTTTATACTATTTTACATTTAGGGGGTCATGTTTGTTTCAGCCGCTAGAATTTGATAATTAAAATATTAAAAAAGAAATTATAAGATATGATATATATTACCATCAAATATCAAATAAAAAATTATAAAAGAAGTATATATGTCTATTTATATATCTTTTATTTGCGTAAGAAACACATTTATCTAATTTAATAACACAATGTTATTAGTCAAGCGTACAAATGTGACATATGCAGAGTATAATAAAGTCCAATAAAACAAATGGAAGAATGCATATATGAAAGTAAACAAGGAAGTATTTCAAGGTTTAATGTGTTCAATTGTGCATTTATGTAATGTAAAAAAAACGCGGCATACGTTTAACGTCTATTATCTTATTTGAATGTTTGCTATATAATAAGAATAAAACTGACATAACGTTAAATAGTATTGTGTATGTAGGTAACAGGTGGAATAACTGTGTATATATACATCGCGAAGGTATACCGTTTCAGAATAACCTATAAAAATAAAAACCTGTTATATATAATATTACTCTCTATATGATAATCAAATAAATGACTAATTAATAAAGAACTTACCATAAGCTGATAACATTTATTTTTTGAAAGACTTTACGATTAATCTCTATCGTATTAGAATAAATTCTATTTCTACATTTTGAAATAATAAGTTGGAATGCATATTTTGTAGTATACTAATTAACAAATTTTTTTTTTCTCTCCTATTATAATAACAATCTTATATTCACAATATCTTTCGCGATTTCTTCGTACTTTCACTGTTATTTCAACATTTATATCTCGTTATCACGTAATGACAACCGTTTGTGGCCATATTAATTTTCAGATGACGTTCCGTAGTTTCATTTATCGCCTCGTTGGCGCTGTTTGCGGAATATAAATTAAAATACAAAAATAAAATATTACATATTATATATATATATATATATATATATATATATATATACATATTTACATACACACACTATATCATAGAAAAATAAAAATATATAGAATAAAATATATAGAATACAAAAATATTAATAATTTGTTTATATTACGGTATATGCAATTGTTTATAGAACGTACGACATAAATAATCACGAAAAAAGTGGAGTATAATAAAAGTTGTATTAACTTCTTAAAAAAAAAAAAGAAAAAAAGAAACAGAAAAGTTTCAATTTTTTAATAAAATTGTATTACATATATTACCCGATTTTTCCTGTATCTAACAAACGTATCTTCTCGATCCATAATTCTTGTATAGATACTTTGAAGTTCTTGTTACCGGAGTGACGGCCACCACAACAAATACTTCGATTATGAGAATGGTATACGAACATTGTGAATGTTAATTATCTACTAGTTATATACGTCATAGGCAAAGGAGCTTTAAATAAACGTAGTAGTATAGTGATAATGGCAAACAATGCACTGAGCAACGGTCGCATCCAACAACCAACAGTTTCACAACGATTAAGAGATGATAGAACGAAGAAAGGTACTATATCTTTGTTACTAAGGAGATAACTCTATAAAAATTCAAACATTCAAATAACAGGAAAAATAATTTTTCGAATCTTCCTGCGTTATTATATCTTTCTCTATTGTCATCGTGTAATAATTAAATAGCAATATATAAATGTAATTGGGTCAATTGAGTCGATGATTATAAGAGTGATCTTCGCTTAATTGCAAGTAAAAAATAAAAAAGAAATAAAAAATTAATTTATTACTTATTTATTATTATAACTTAGATAATTGCCATGTCAATTAAGCGATAAACGAATTCCTTTTTTCTCTTTTTATTTTTCTTTTTTTTTTCTTTTTCTTTTTTTCTAATTTTTAAAAAATACTTTCATAATTACCGGCTCAATCATATAAAATAATTAAATTATTATATATTGATGGAAGATGTCAATGATATGTACGTTAATATAAGGAATTAATTGTTATTTTTAATCACATTTAGTCGTCGACATACCATCAATAGAAATTCGTAATTGGTTATTACATCGTTATTATACGAGGTGTGAATATAGGATATGTAAAATTCTTATTGAGGAAGAATTAGCTAAATCAAATGGTCACAATGAATATGCAAATTATTTAAAGGTAATTCTACGGTATTTAGAATTTTTTCCTAATATTTTCCAATGATTTTAATTGCTTGTTTTTTCTTTTTTTCTTTTTTTTTTTTAATTAATATTATAACACTTTGTTATTACGCTTATTACATTATTTTGGTATTATATGGATTTTTAATTTCGTAGGGTCTTATCCTGAGAAAGGAAGGTAAAGTTCAAGATTCCTTAGATAGTTTTCAAGCAGCTTACAAGGTGAATTCATCCAACGTTAATAATGTTAAACAAATAGCTAAATCTTTGTGAGTAATTTATTTTTATACTTCTTTTTTTTTTTATATTTATTTTTTATCATCTATCGTATTTTAAAAAGTATTGCTTTTTTTTCTTTTTTTTTTTCTTTTTTCTTTCTCTTATATCACCACGTTTACATCTTTCTCATATATTTTTGTTTCTTATTGTTATCTAATTATGTGATTCATAAATTTTATTATCTTTAGTATTTCTTTCAGATTGATAATGGGTAGTCATAAACGTTCGATCGAAGCATATTTAGAAGCAGAAAAGATAACAGTTCTACCTGATTGGGATATACATTATAGTCTTGGTAATTAATAATTGAATAATTTCTTAATTTCTTAATTTTTTGATCGTTTATTATTATTGTTATTATTATTATTATTATTTTTTTTTTTTTTTTTTTTTTTTTGGTACAATACACTTCGATACAATACGTTTGATACAATTGTTTCCTATTGTTCTTATTGTTTCTATCACGTGAATGAAAGGAACGTTAATTAATCGAATTTCTTTTTTTTTTCTTTTTAGGACAGTGTTACACCAAATTAAACCAATTACAAGAAGCGAAAAAGCAATTTAAAAGATCGATCGAGTTAACGAAAAATGAATTACCGTATCTCGCTCTTGCAAGAGTACACATGATGGAAGATCAGATAATAGAAGCTAAAAATATTTATATCGCCGCATTAACGTATGTTTCAAGAATGAAAACATTTTTCAACAATGAAAATATTTTCATTGGCATTTCAATCTAGCATTATCTAACATTAAATTATTCATTGAATTTAGTGGAAATCCAGAAAGCGTAACTGTTTCCACAGAATTAGGTTTGTTATACCTAAGAATTGGAGATATACAAAGAGCATTTCAACAATTCGGGACTACTTTAGCTTATGCGTCAAATTGTTCTAAAGCTCTTTTACCAATTGCTTATATAATGCAAGTGAGTCAAATTAAAACGGATTAACAGATAACTATTCCTCGGTGTTTGGTCAGTTAAATACTAGAGACTTATCGATTTATCAAAGAATATTATATGAATGTGATCTAAGTTATTTGAGATATCGCAACAACGCTAATGTTAAAAATTTTTTTGTTTTGTTAATTTACATAAAAGAATTATTTTTAATTATATATTTATCTTTTCAGTTTATCATTATAGCATAATAACATTTAAATAATAATTCAAATTGAAATTTTAAAATATCTCGAAACAATATATTATATAACTTATAATTATACAACTTGTCTAATATTATTTCTCATAATAATCGGCTTATATATATATATATATATATATATATATATATATATATATCAGTAAGGAACATTATTATATGAAATTATATTCTACGGAAGATCATTATAATGATATAATGGTAATTTAATAGGTAGAGAAATCTAACGCCGAAATGCATAGATATATGTAGACACATGCCAATTAAAATACCAAAAACCATATTCCATTAGATTGAATAAAATTCATAGAGAACAATTCCATGATAGACATTTGATGGACGGTATTGAGCCTCGTTCGATAATTGTGTATTCAATTTTTTTCTTTCTCTTTTTTCTTTTTTCTTATATATATATATATATATATATATATACATATATATATAATATATATATATATATGTATATACCTTTCTTATTTCAGAAACATAACGAATACGACGTGGCATTATCTAAATATAAAATAGCGGCCCAATTAATACCCGAATCATCAGCTCTTTGGAATAATGTTGGCATGTGTTTTTATGGGAAACAAAAGTTTGTTGCCGTAAGTAATACAATTAAATATTTATTTATAGAAAATTACTGTAAAACGAAAATCATGGATGGGGAGAGAGAGAGAGTGAGAGTGAAAGAAAAAAATGAAAAGTAATAAATAAAAATATAAATAATGAATTATCGAATTTTGATTTAATTTCAGGCAATAAGTTGCTTAAAAAGGGCTCATTATCTCAATCCATTGGCATTCTTACCAGTTTACAATTTGGGTATAGCCTTTCTTACAACTGGACAACCAGCATCAGCTGCTATTTATTTATGTGCTGCTGTTAATGCCGAATCAAAAAAAAATCCAATGGCCTATCTTTTACTTGGATGTGAGTGCATTGCGATTGGTATTTGAAGATTTGAAATTAATATCATAAAATTGACAATGCTATAAGCTTTATGTTTCTATTTTTATTTTATTTTATTTTTCTTTTGACTTTTATTCATATTAAAATGGATGTTAGGAAAAAAAATTAGGATTTTTATGTGTATATATAAATAAAACATATATAAATAAATATTAAATATTATTGATAAATTCAATTGTTTATTCTTAATAGTGGCTCTTAAGCGACTCGATGATTTGGAAGGTTCGGTAAAAGCATTGGACAAGGCTCACTCATTGTCACCCCAAGATCCATTAGTATTAATTAATTATGCCGTGATTCTCGATGCCATTGGAAAAGTTACAGAAGCTTCGGAAATATTATCGTCCCTGAACGACATTATGGCTATTATTGACGTTGACTCGCAGGTAATTATAATTCTTTTTTTTCTTTTTTTTAAATATATTTTTTACAATTTCATATTTGTTATTTTCTTTAAACGCATTTTCTTCTGTCTCTAACAGATAGCACAAATGGCGAAGAGATTGTCGATGAAATTACAACAACATAAGTTATCTAATAATTAACGAGAAAAATATTATTAAAAATTATTAAATTATTAAATATTCATATGCATACACTGAAGATTAATTACATCGTTATTTTTTTTTTTTTTTATATATGAGCGAAACCATCGTTAGTAAGTTTACAATATAGAAAAGTCATATTTTTTTGACACTCTTTTCATTTAAATTTTATTTAATTTTCAATATGTCATTATCATTCTTTCTTTCTTTTTCTTTTTTCCTTTTACAGAGATTTATTTTACAATAACACATTAAGTAACGATTATTATGTTTAATATTAATTTTACATTTACATGAATTAACAATATTATATCATAAAATATTTAAATATTATTTGATTCGTTGTCCTTTACATAATATTACATAAAATTAGTGTATAATTTTGTGTATAGATTTAGTAAAAAGAGAGATAATATACAAAAATTTGTTATACATACATATTCACGTATATACGAAATATATATTTTATCAAATGATATATTTTATAATAATAATATCTATAATTCATCATTTATGCAATATTAATTACATTCATATAGCAGAAAGATTAGGCATTGGAAAAATCATAGTTAAAATACTATACATATATGTTATATATAGATTGCTATAGTTATATATATATATATATATATATATATATATATATATATAATCCTATAATTTATAACAACAAATATATGTATATATGCTATCTCATATTAAATGATGACATCGATACAATAACGAAGAATCATCATAATCTTTGAAATTGATCTGCCCCTATGGAAAAAATTCTCATGGGGATAGTACGGCAAATATTGTAAATGAAAATGTATCTATATTTCATGGGAATTCCTTTCGATTCGATTCCGATGACCGAAGTATTTTTTTATTTTTACTTTTATTTCTTTTTTATTTTATAAAGTAAAGTAAATGAATATATATATATACATAACATTTAGAATATTATCGAACGACTTTTCGATTACATATTGTATCACACAGATTTTGAAGTACATATATATATATATATATATATATATATATATATATATATATGTATATTATAAGATGCTAAAATTTTTTATTTACAATTACTTGCTTTTTGTTGTTATTTTTTTTTTAAATGTTTACAATACAACGGAGAGAGTATTTAAATTTACATAGCGTGTTCGTACAATTATTTGTTTTAGATTTATATATAAGTATATATACCATTGAAATATTTGTATTTATTTAGAAATCTTAAATATTAGAGAACAAATGGTATTGTCTACTTTTTCATAATAAACGAAACTCACTAACAACATTTTATTATATCACATAAGATTTATGCTCGTGTAAGTTAACAAATAAATTTATTAGATTTTAATCTATGCGTTCTTCTCCTTTTTTTCTTTCTTTTTTTTTCTATTTTCTTTTTTCTTTTTTTTTTTTTTTTTTTTTTAAATCGAAGTCAAAGAAGAAGAAATTGATGATTATTGCTTGTAAAGTATATCGCGAATAGCGCGATTCACGTCTTTTTGATAAAATAAATTTCTATTAACAGTGATTACTATTAACAAGCGATAATATGATATCATTAGGAAAGAAATATTCTTTTCTCTTTACTTATCTAATTACATTGTAAACTGACGATCCAGGAAAGCTTAATAGATGTTAAATTGACTTTACATCTCACTTTACATATTTGCGTTTAAGGTATACCAGTTTTCCACGTTTTTTTCTTTTTTTTTTGTTTCCTTTGTCCTTTTAATAAAATATTTAAACTATTTTATTAAATTTCACGGAATTTTCTTAGACCAGAACCAATAAAGATATAGGAATTAAGTGAGTGTGTATATGTAAAAAAAAAAAAGAAGAAAAAAACGAGATAAAAAATAAATAAATAGAAAAATAAAAAAAGAAAAAAATTCTAACGTTAACATTTGATAAAATTCGTCATCAGGCGGATGATACTTATAGCTTTATAATATAACTTTATACATATAAGTAGATATACATATATTTATATATTTGTTATCAAAAAAATAATTACTTCGAAAAAGCAATTGTCACATTTATTTGTTCAATTATTTTACTTGGCATTAATTGAATAATGTAAAGTATCTTCTTTTTCCTTTTTTTTTTTTTGTTTTCAAATATATCTATTCGATCATCGAGATGAATTTATTGAATCATCATAGACTTCAAATCGGCTTAAAATAATTTTAAAAATAAGTGTCTTTCAAAGTAGGTGGTATATATCATACGTAAGTAGTTTGTACGTCGGTTTGTTGAGTGGTTGGTTGGCATTTTTTCATGATTTTGGGTTTAAAAAGTCGTTCGAAAGATATACGGAATTGTCGTGACATCAAACAATAAAGGATAAAATTAATAGCACCATTTAATAAAGCTAAAATGTCCATTACCTCGCCAAAAGTATGATAACAACTATGAAAGAAGCAATCGCCAAGGATACCAGAAAGAAGGCCTAAAACGCCCTGTGGTATTTCTGTAATTAAAAAAAGAAGTAGAACAGCAACGAGCATTCTTGTTGTCCTATCGGCATGTTTTTCATTTTTGCTTGGCCTTCGTGGTATAATAGGGCTATTATTTATTGGTAGATTCTTCACTAAAGGCTGATTGTAATTCTTTAAAGCTTGTTTCCGATCTTTCGTTCTGCGTGAATTTAAAATTAAATAAATTTATTTAATTAAAAAAAATTTTTTTTTTAAGTACCAGTTAAGTAGAATAAAACCATTATCAATATTATTATAATATATATATATATATATATATATATATATTTCATTGATTATTATTATTATTATTATTATTATTATTATTATTATTATATGTACCTGCATAGTGTTTTTATTAACCAACAACTAATTATGGTTAGTATAACGCAGGGCATAAGTTTGACCACAACTCCGAGTATCCAAAAGTTAAGTTGATAAATAAATCCTTTGTCTGTTGAATAATCGGTATCGACATAATACCAAATCTCTGAAGTTCCATTCTCCATGAAATGTTTATCCTTTATCTAAGCATTACATTGTAAGATTATTTATCAGATATTCTTCCCTTCGATTTCAAGAAATTCTATATAGCAGTATCGATTACAAGGAGAATGAAGTCTACTCACGCCAAAGACGAAATAGCTTGGCGCACAGGCGATCAATGGCGCCAAAACGCAACACCATAGAGCTATTTTGCAACGAGTAGGTGTACACCATGCATGGTTGTATTGCAGAAACCTGAAACACGTACCAACATATACTTTGTAACCATGAATTCCGAACAATACACAAATTCTCTCATCATATTGGGGTGGGATGGAGAGGGTGGAAGAGTAGGTGGGAATAGGAAAGGAATTGAAATAAAAATTCTTTATCCAAGCGAATATAATAAAACAAAGCAAAAAGATATATCGATAAATAAATAAATACATTTATTTTAATTTAACATTTAATATATTTTTCTTCATGAAATTTCATCCGATCCCGTTATTATCGAAATTCTATTAATTAAAGTAAACAAAACTTGAGATCATAGAAAGATCGAAAGAAATGATAAATAATATATTATTTTCGTTATACTTCATTATTCGTATTATGTATTTTGCAATTTCGAACTTTCCTTGCAACGTTCATTTGGAAATCTTTATACTTCATCAAAATCTTTAATTTCATTGTAATCAAAGTTATATTATTGCCATTAAATATTTTTATATTTAATGGAAATAATTAGAAATTATATTTAAAACGATGAAATTTGTAAATTTATAAATGTATAATAAAGAGATTATTAATTAATTTTTCTAATATTCTTTTCTATTGACATATTTATTTTAACGTTTAGGATATAGATATTTATATCCAAATTCACGTAACAATTAAGTATCTTTTGTAAGTATTCAATGTGACGAAAGATTGTTTGACAAATTTTTATGCACTAGTTATTTTTTTAACTATTCTCGTACGTACGCATTTGCATTTTATCCGTAGAACCGTGGAATTACATACGCTTCCGATAGAAGGATATATTATTTATACCTGTTAGATTTTCTAATGCTTTCTTTTTCTCCTGAATAAAATATTTAACACATATATAACTTTGATATCTTGTTTGGTACAAAAATTCGATGTTTTACGAAGGAAAATTCAAAATAAAAGATAATAATTCATAAATATTATTAGATTTCTAAAATATACAAAGAATAGCAATGGCTATTACATGAAGTATATTTTCGCAATATTATTAACCAAAATTTGTATTTTAAATAACTATATTTAATTATGTTCGATCGTGAGATACAAGAAGCTCTCGTTCCAAGGAATAAATCTTTTATATGTTCCACAAGACGCATTATGAATAAGGCAGAAGGACGGGGGAGTCCATAAGAAATTTTAATGTAAAGAATAAAAGTCGAATGAGAAGTACATATACTCGATAGATAGGACAGTTATTTCTTCATTATCTTAGAAAATATTTGAGAGTAATTTACTAAACCAATGTTTATAATGAATATTTTCACAAAAAAAAGAAAAAAAAAAGAAAAAAAAAGAAAAAAAAAGAAAAAAAAAAGAAAAAAAAAGAAAAAAAAATAAATAAAAAAAAAGGGAAAGAAAAAGAAAAATTTATTAGTAATAAATATCTCATTTTTGCGAGTTCATATTTAATTATTAATTATCGACAATGTTCGATGGTTTAAATTCAAAAATGCTTCAGAAAATTTCAGCTGATCTTGTTAGACACATCTAAATAAGTTGTCGACTTAATGAAGAGTCCCGAGGGAAGAGAAAATTTATATGACAAGATTGACAACAATATAAGATGATAAGGGAAGCGAAAGAAAAAGAAAAAAGAAGAAGAAAAAAAGAACAAAAGCAAAAAAAAGTATAATAAAAGAAAGAAAGAAGAGAGAGAGAGAGAAATAAAGAGGGATTAGTTATTACGCTATTTATAAGCCGTCAAGTCAATCGTGAAAGAAAATCATCTACTTGATAGCAAAAGCTATCAAATAGAAGCTTATGCAGATTTATGCGGAATACAAAGGCACGTTATTAGGTATTACTTTGCGCCGTCCTAAGAAAACATAATTTTATTTCTTGATAGCCGAACGTGCTTTTGAAGTTCCCATCTTACCTTTTATAACCACCCTCTTACTCACTTTGACCTGTCTTATCCGTTACAAAGTTGTATTTTTAATGTCATTGTATCGAATAACATTTATTGTGCGACAGATCTTGTTCGTATATTTTATATATATATATATATATTTTATTTTTTGCTTTCTTTTGCATATGTACATAAATAAAAATACAATTATTTCGATATTCAATTAATATATTTATGTAAAAAGAAAGTATTAGAATCGAATTACCTTAAAGCGATGTATCTCCAAACGGCTAAGGTAAGGGTTAGCGCGATACTGATGGTATGAAAGATCTGAGCGAAGTGCATGTGAAATAAAACGAAGACAGCCCATCCATAAGAGAAATTCCGATGTCTTGGTAGAATCAAATAAATATAAATGGCAAACGGTATATATTCCAGCATCACTAACATATCAGCCAGCGCTAATCCGGTTAAAATTTTGTTGATCGGCGTTACCATCATTTCTTTATGCGTTAATACGACGATATTGAGCATATTGGCGAAGGTACCAAAAATGCAGACCATTATTGCGACGTAACCATGATATTTTCTATACGTCAAAGCCCAATCTCTTATGGAACCATTGCAATAACAATCCGTGCTCCATATATCGGACCAGGGTCCAGTATAATTTTCTAGGATCTTAAGATCTTCTAACGTAAGATTTAATTTAAGAAAGATTTCGATGTAATTTTCCAAGGTATGCATGCTCGATGATATTTTATATTTCGAAGTGAACAATTAAAATGTCTCGAGAACCGAGAGTTCAAATATCATAAACTTTTAATACAGGTTCCAAATAAAAGAGAAGGATCAATTTTGTTTTTGTTACGAATAGGATATAATCGTTTTATACGTTGATTGTCAATTTCAGTATACTCATTAGCGTGATCCTAACTTCATCTTATTCCAAATGAATTTCTCGTCCCAGTTAATCAAGTTTTAACCGCGTAAACTTGAAGACAAATATACGAGCGTTCAGAACAGTTTTCGACATAGACGAGGTAGCACCTTAATCGAAGATTAAGCGATAAATTGTTTAGCCAATTGCAAAAGGACACCTTATTTGTTTGATTATACGATCGATTTTTCTCGTCTAAAATATAAGTTTATTTTTTCTTTCACACAAGATAGTACGAAATTGAATTTTTAGAGAGCATCCGATTTTACGATCTCTCTCAATAAGATCACTGTTCAATGATTCCTCGATGTTTCATTCCATTCTTCGTTTCTCTCGACATTCTTCGCAATAATATATCGTATATTTCTATGAGTTCTGTTCACATACTGGATTT